GCAGCAGCAACAACATGAAAATAAAAACAAACAAAAATAAGTAAAAATGAAATAAAATAAATGAAATAAGTTAGAGAATGACCAACAACTTTTATTTTATAATCCTATACTATACCTATACAAAAACCGGAAACAATATTCCTACAGACTCTACTACAGACCCTCTCAATCAAAAATGTTTTCAAGAAACTCGTAAAAATAACTTTTGCAACAAATTATGTGCAACAATTAACTATTCAGCATCCATATCTATGCAACTAGCATCAGTTGCATACAGGTTCAACTTCTTTTGCTTTTTACAACATCAGCAACGACAACAGCAACAACAACAACAACAGCAACAACAACTAACTGTAAACTTATGTCGCAACTTGTTAAATTTGTTAGCGAAGAGCTTGGCTTGCGTGTGCTGCTCTGCCAATTGAAATTCTTATTGGAATTTGCTTGTAGGCGCTGGGGAAGGGGGGCATATCTATTACAATTTAATGCTGTCATTGAATTTTATGCCTCAGCAAATTTGAGCTGGAAATCAAAATGAAAATATAATTACACAAATCAGATGGCGCAGTACCGTTTCGTTTTCCATTATCCAATCAGACTATGCAAATAGATATTGTTACCCAACTCAAGAGTGGGCGACAAGGCGGACGGGCGGGTGGTTAGTTAGTTGGGCGGGGTAGTTGGCATAATTAATGGCGTGTGGCGCTTAACACTGGCCCGAGTGCATTGTACTCTGTGCTCCGCATTCTATCTGTCAGATACACACGTTCTAACTGCAAACGGCCCAAAAGATACAAAAGCCAAGAGCTGTAACTGGAGTGTGTTATAATACCCTTTGCTGTTGTTGTTGTTGTTGTTGTTGCTGTTGCTGTTGTGCTTAATTATAGAGAGCCCAAATGGGTTTGGTTTTTTTTTTCAGATCTGGGCTTTGTGCAGCACTGGGCGTGTGTATCTTTGTGTGTGTGTGTGTGTGTGTTGTGTTCAGGCAACTGTTAATTTTGTTTTACAACTTGTGCTTGTATCTTTGAAGCATCTATAACGTGTTCGTCTGCTTATCTGGCTAACTGTCAGTTACAAGCATAACAAACACATGCGTAATATACACCAACACACACACACACACACACACACACACACACACTCACATACAGCTTTTCATTCATAAATATAGTAGCTACAATAACATTATATCTTTTGGTTGGTTTCTTGTGCGATTTTCGACTACACAAATTAATTATACCGCAACACTTCATGGCCAAGACTTTTGGCTAACGGCGATTTCGTGTACTCAAACAATTAGCTTGCCTGGTCAGTGTTGGCTAACGCCTAACGCTTCACGCTGTGCAAATTTTACGCCCGGCTAACTATAAAATTGTTGATTAACCATAATTCTTATATCATCTGCATTTTACAACATAATTATATAAGATCTATGGATATAAGCTTGTAGCTTCGTGATGTGGCATGTTTTAGCATGGGCATGCTCATATAATTTGTTGCAGATTAGATTGGATTAATGCTGGATGAACGTGTTTGACTTGAGTGAAATATTCGAGAACGGAAACTGTTAACTCATCTATGTTGCATACGAGAAAGTTTTTTTTTTTTTTTTTTTTTTTTGATTGGATTGATTTTTGCTTCGTGGATTATGTAGTTCAGTAATACTAGAGATTTTTTATGTCTGACAACTAAGTGCAACATATGATTATTAATAAGATATTTTTCTCTGATTTCGGAATTTCTATTTAATTTCAATAGCATTATGGATGACTAAATGTATATAGGAGATCAGCTTAATCCTAATTATCTTTTATCTTTCAAAACCGCAGTTTTAGAGAAATGCTTCATTATGAAGCTCATTAGGAATTTGACCCAATTAGTTTTAAAACTTACCTGACCTAGCTTGATTTCTATGCAAACAATTAGGCTAATCTTATATGCAAAACAACACAGAATGAGAACTAGAATGTTGAAGATCAAATCGATCCAAATTCGATTGAAGATCCTATATATAGTAAGGTATAATTTCTGGGTTGATCATCTGGCCTATATACATAGATAGTAAGATAAAATTTCTGAGAAGCTAATTTGACTATTTTGTTTAGCAACATTTTTATATGAAACAAAAAAATAAATTGATTGGAATGTAGAATAGCTTCTAGTATACCATTGCAGTACATATACCTTCTAATATAATCTATAATATATATTTATAACGAATAATATTTATAAAATTTTATGTCTTTTAACTTTTTGTTATTCTGTATTAAAAATCCTAATTTACTTCAAATATTCTTTCAGACCTTTGTCATATGCACACTGCTCAACACAAGTCAGGCTCTGGAGCTGGGTGACAAGTGCCAGCATGACATGGACTGCACAGATTTCATCAAGGGCAGCAGCTGCTCAGCGCTGGGCTACTGCGAGTGTGCGCCCTACTTTGTCCAACTGGACTCCAAGCGCTGTCTGTCATGTAAGTCAATCTTTGAGTAACCCCATACCATTGCCATTACCATTCCAAAAAAAAGAAGAAAAAAAAAATAGAAAAAAGAAGACATGTCTCTATTGAAGATATGTCTATTTGTTTATTTGTTTGTTTGTTTGCTTGTCTGCAAATAATAGTGCTTCAGTTGTTTGCATAAATGCAGAGAAGCCGTTACTCATATGGCACATAACTTACTTAGCTGTATCTCTCGTTTCTTCAACTGCAGCTCAACTACTGGGCGGCGATTGCCAGGTGAGCGAACAGTGCTCAATGAAGGTGGCAAACAGCAGCTGCTTGGACGGTGCCTGCCGCTGCGTCGAGGGATTCTTGCAGTTCCGCAAGCACACATGTCTGGGACGTAAGTATCAGACAACTGTTGATCAATTGTGGCCCTAATTGCATGGAATTTCATAATTACAATACATACACACATACATACATATATACATACATGAATAATAATAATAGTAGCCTTAACTGTCGTTCGTTCAACTTCATGTTGTTTAGTTTTCACATAAATTGCAATAAATGCTCAAAAAACAAAAAAAAAAAAAAACAAAAAAAATCTAAAATTGAAAAGAATGGAACTTTGATTGCTTATCGTCTAGGAATTACACGCATGTGCAGCAAATATACACACCTTTCCTTTTCATATCTGGCATCTGTACAACATATATAGTTTGTTTTTCCAATCTGTTTAACCATCGCATTTCATTCATTTCCGCTTGATTGTTTGACGTTCGTTAACACTTCTATAACAATTTTTCTTTTGCTATTGCCGCCACTTGACACAAGCAATTAACATGGCTATAACAATAACAAACAAACAAAAACAACAACAACCACAACCACAACAACAATTGCTACTCTCGAGCTAACAAGACAATCGTGTCACTAATTATACGCATAATTGGTTAATATTCCTAGAATCATGGAACGAGCCAAAAGCCGAGCCACTGCATACTTCAAGTTTTTGTCTTTCTCTTCTTCTTTATACCTTTCCAATTTTCCACTTTAGAATTTCATTTTGAATACGAAATGCGAGTGGCCATAAGAGAGGCTTTTGAGTTTTGTAGGCTTGTTCGGAAGTGGACATTGAGTGGCCTATCGATTGAGAAGTTGTAATTTGAGGAACATATAACCTCATATTAGCATGAGTTCATTTTAGATTATATCAATTAGTAGGCAACGAATCTAGCTGCAGACAAACAAGCGAAGGCTTACAGATTATTGCAGATTATTAAATGAATATTTCATTTAGATATTCCAAAAATATATGTATAAAGTTTCGGTTTATTAAGTTCTGCCTAGGGCATGTCTGTCTGTCTGGTTAGTCTACAAATCTTCTGATGAAGCCAAGGAAGTCTTCTTTGTTTGAGTGCAGTAGAATGTTAAATCTAAGTGCTTGGCTTTCGAATTTCTGTATGATATTACAATTAGAATAGCTGACAGTGCCTGAAATTGTGTTCTCACAGGTCCACATGCATTTCATTATGATCTTTTGAACTAGTAGTTTGACACGCAGCCGCAGGGTAGATCTTCTTCCGATAAAGCCAGAGATTTTTAGACTGTTGATTTACTTATTTATTTATTTATTTATTTTTTTTAATTAGCTGATTTAGCTTTTATGGTACCTAGAATGAGACTGAGATTAATAAAAAAGTTTCTTAAACGAATGATATAAATATAGAAAGATATTAAATATATTTCGCATTAACGGTAAACTTCAAGGGCGCCCTAAGTTGATGATAAGTAAAAATA